TGTGTTTGTGGTTGTGTGTTTGTTGTTGTGTGTTTGTGGTTGTGTGTGTTGTTGTGTTTGTGGTTGTGTGCTTGTGGTTGTGTGTTTGTGGTTGTGTGTTTGTGGTTGTGTGCTTGTGGCTGTGTGTTTGTGGTTGTGTTTGTGTGGTTGTGTGTTTGTGGTTGTGTTTGTAGTTATGTGTTTGTGACTGTGTCTTTGTAGTTGTGTTTGTAGTTGTGTGTTTGTGACTGTGTGTTTGTGATTGTGTGTTTCTGATTGTGTTTGTGGTTGTGTGTTTGTGGCTCTGTTTGGAATAATAATGTCCGGCGGAAAACACTGGGCGCGGATGGTCGTGGTTGAGGTCCGGCAGGGAACACTGGGCGCGGATGGTCGTGGTTGAGGTCCGGCGGGGAACACTGGGCGCGGATGGTCGTGGTTGAGGTCCGGCAGGGAACACTGGGCGTGGATGGTTGTGGTTGAGGTCCGGCGAGGAGGAGAAGAAGAAGGAGGAGGAGGAGGAGGAGAAGTCAGCTAACATAAAATCTAACAACCCTCACCTGGCAGGTGGGGAAAAAAAGAGAGAGAGAGAGAGAGATAGACAGATTGATTGATTGATAGAATGATGGTTGGAGGGGGAATCAGAAGGCGACGAAGACTCTGGTACCCACTGATCACACCGTGATCATACCACCTAGAATGCTGTTGCAACATTCGCTACTCCATTCGCAAGTCAGAAGGCTCCAAAGCTTCGCTGTGCAGCTCCGGAACGAGCAGTTTCAAAGCCTCAGCTGTGATTGCTTCAAACCCTCAGGATGTACAGTAACAATGTTCTTCAAAAATGAACCTCCCCACCCACTCCTCTTCTTGGCCTCTTGGGTTCGGGGCTGGGGGCAAGTCTGCTAAGGCCTCTACCTGTCAAGCACTGAAGGGAGGACCAGTGGTCCAAACCTTTATTTACTGTGTTGTTCAATGCACAAAAACAAGCGGGCACACATCTTCTTCGAGCCTTGGTGAGATGAAACGACAAAGAAAGGAGAAGTGTTCTTGACACTGATGATATGGTTTTTTGGGAAAAGTGGCAGCGGAGGTTCTGCACGACCAGCA